TGAATACGTTGTTTACTATTTTTATCTTTAATTTTTTTTATATTATATAATTAGAATAATAATCAATTAAAATAAAATATTTTTAAAATAATAGTATATGGGTGGATTTCACCTTTCATAATATACGGAAAAAAAAAAAATTTACTTATCATCTATGTCAGACGCACATGTTAACATAAAATATTATGTAAGTCACATAAATATTATATTTTATAATAATAAATTATATAATCTATTATTTATTTCGTTTTTTATCATTTTTTTGTAAAGATTTTTGTTTTTTCCATGCAATTTGTTTGAATTCTGCCCATGCAATTTGTTTAAAATAGATATCGAATATTGTTAAGATTTGGTAAACAATATGATATTGTTAATTGATACGTGATATGGTAAACAATCGAATAATATTTTGGTAAAAATCAGATATTGTTAATTGTTAAAAAGATATTGTTATTTGTTTATTATTTAATAAATGTTTATTATTTAATTTTTGGTAAACAATTAGATTATATGAAATTCAAAATTACATATTTTAATACATTAATAAATGTTTATTATTTATTTTTTCCTTATGTGATATAAACGATTTTTAAATTCAAACATCTAAAAAAAAGATCCTAAACAAATTTTTTTGGTAAATTTTATTTTATCTTGATTTTCATATAATCACATTCCTAACAATTTTATTAATATTATTTTTTTTCTACATTATGTAACCGCTTTTTTATGATACAATTAATATAATATCTTGACTCATTAATCATTTATCTAACCGGATTTATCTCTCTAACAAACTTGCCAATTTTTTTTTTTTTAAATTGAAATGGTATGATTATTCTTATGGAGATACTTATCAATACATTAAAATTTAGAAACTTTTTTTTTTAAAAAAAAATGAGTTATCCCACCTTTTACTTTATTTGAAATTCTGAGTTATATTTTAAAATATATTATTAGTTATTTTTTTACATGTAAATATTTATTATTTATAATCTAAGTGATAAACATTGATGATTTATCTCTTCAATAAATGTTTAATATTTTTTTTTCTTACATGATATAATCTAAATTTGGTTATTAGATTTTTTAAATTCAAACATTTAAAGGAAAATATCACAAGCAGATTTTTTAAATAAATTTTATTTTATCTTGATTTCATACAATCGCATTCCTAACAAACTAATTAATATTTTTTTTATCTACATTATTTAACTGAATTTTTTTTATGATATGATTAATACAATATCTTAACAAATTAATCATTTATATAACCGAAATTATCTCTTTAACAAACTTGCCAATTTTTTTAAAATTAAAATGGCATGATTATTCTTACGGAGTTACTTACTAATATATTAAACATTTAGAATTTTTTTTAAAAAAATGAGTTATGTCTCCTTTTACTTTATTTAAAATTCTAAGTTTATTTTTAAATATATTATTTTTTTTATTTTTTTTACATGTAAATGTTTATTATTTATTATATAAATGATAAATATTATTGATTTATCTCTTTAATAAATATTTTTTATTTATTTTTTCCTTACGCGATATAATCTAAATTTGGTTATCATATTTTTAAATTCAAACATTTAAAGGAAAAGATCACAAATGGGTACATTTTATTTTATCTTAACTTCTATATAATCACATTCCTAAATAACTAATTAATACAATTACAATTACCTAACGGGAAATTTAAAAATATAATTAATATTATATTTTAATTAATTAATCTTTTGTCTAACTGAATTTATCTTACTAGCAAACTTACCAAAATTTTTCAAATTAAAATAGTAAGATTAATCATACGGGTATACTTACCAGAATATTAAACACTTTAAAAACTTTTTGAAAACAAATTTGAATTATACCATCTTCTATTCTATTTGAAATTCAAAATAAAATTTTTGAACATATTCAGAAATATTATTATTTATTTTTTTTCTTATGTAATATAATCTAAATCTGGTTATTAGATTTTTAAATTCAAATATTTAAAGGAAAAGACCACGAATAGATTTTTTTTTAGTTATATTTCATTTTATTACATTTCGTTTTATCTTAACTTTTATATAATCACAATCCTAACAAACTAATTAATTAGTATAATATTTTTTATTCACATTTATATAATTGGATTCTTAAAATATAATTAATATAATATTTTAACTATTTAATCATTTGTATAACTTGATTTAACTCATTAACAAACTTGCCAATTTTTATTGGAATTAAAAAAATTGGGATGATTTTTATATGTAAAATAATAAAAAATAACTTTACTTTAAAGTCTGGATTCTTTCCATTATTTTCTGTACGTTAACAATCATATATTGGATAATTGATTTAAGAAAAAAAAAATCAAAACTGTAAGTTCGGGCCGTTGGCCCCTATCTCATTACCCTGTTGGGGCCTTAGATTACCCTGTTGGGGTCTTGTAATTTGTTTCTTTGCACTTTTGTGCTCTTCTATATTATCTCTATCGTTTCGGAAAAAAAAAAAGTTTAATAATATTATTAAAATAAAAAATAATGTATAAAGAGAAGTGTTTAATAATATATATTTTTCATTGTTTGTATTTATTTTATTTTTATAATAGATGAGATGTGAAAAATATAAATAATTATATTTAAAATAAAGTCTAAAAATGGTTTAAAACATGAGCTCCTCCGTGCATCGCACGGGATATGCACTAGTAACAATAATAATAATCTCCCATGATACTTATTGGTTACTCCCTTCGGCTGGTTGCAATTGTAATTAACTTTTTGGTTAGCCAATATCTAACCAGAGTTTGGGATATCGATATGAGGCCGGGCTCTTTTATTCTTTGTTGCTGGTGGTGTAATAAGTCCAGCAGGCACTGAAAGCACAAATGGTTCAATTTCCCAAGGCGAAACCCTTTCGGGTCTTGAAACTGAAGCAGGTTCATCCCATTGGACCTAGAAATGTAAGAAAAATTGGAAAAAAAAAAATGCATCTCAATAATTTGCAACAGTAACATAAGATGGCCAAAAATCGGTTAGATTTCGAGCGGGCATACTACTGACCTTTAATGACCGCCATTTAGAATCTTCCCAATTAGGAGAAATATCTTCCACCCCAACAAATTGTACCTGAAAACCTGATTTTCAAGACAAATGGTTAAAAAAAAAAAGGAGAAAAGATTATATCAGGCAAATCATTATCTAAACGTAACGTAACACCGAAAAACCTTCTCTCGGGCGAATCTTCCCCCTCAAAACACATCTTGAATCTCATGCCCACTCCAAACTCGTGGCTCACAGCTTCTAAGTACTTGTTAAGTCCTACGATGAACTGTCTCATCCTAAAAAAAAAAAAAA